GATCTATCCGGTCCTCTGAAGACATTCTCGGTACCACCTCCACACGTGTTTTCCGATAGCACCTGGGGACACAGACTGGGCCAAAGTCAGACACTCAGGCTGCCTCACACGGCCTCGCTCTCCCTCCCCCTCACCGACTGAGGCCCGCCTCTCTGAGGTGCCCCCAGGTCCTCCAGCCGGCTCAGCAGTCCGATTCCTGGAGCCCCACGGGGCCCCCCGCCGCGTGTGCCCTAGTGGGGCTGCTGGCAGCCTCCATCCTCTCCAGCTCCTGTTTGTTTCTTTCAAGGCCCGGAAGCAGAACTCATGCTGTGCAGTAATGTGACAGCAGCGCGCAGAGGCCCCTGGGCCAAACGCCAGTCATTCGCATCAGAACCACAGTCCCTGGAGAAGCAGAGCCACCACGGGAAGACTCTGCACCCCTGGAGCCCTTGGCAGGGACCGAGGGGTCGCAGAACGGCCTGGGGGTGGGGAACATTCAAATTTACATGCCTGGTGATTTTTGGAAAGATGGTTTGAGGCCCCCAGGGATGTATTACTGGGCCAGATGAAACCATAAACTCTTGAGTGACTCACACGGATGCTGACAGGCTCGTCTCTCACCCCTGGGAAGACCCGTGGGCCCCTGACCTGGGCGAGGCCCCCAGCAGGTCGGAGCCAACCTTGTCGGGCCTTAGTCTGCCTTTGGGTTGTATCTGTGCCCAGATTGTTTTAACTCTGTAGTAAGCCGAGGGGAGGCCTGACTGCAGGGCTGGGGGCACAGACCTGGGGCTCGGATCTTGGGAAACCCACTGTGGGTGGGCATGAGGGGTCGGGGCGAGCAGGGTGTAGGCCAGTGCTTTGGGCCAAGGTCCACGGTGGGAGGTGACGGTCACCAGGCTTCACGGATTCTGGGGTACCTTTGCACTTCTGCTGAATTGACCTTTTGCTGAGGGCACTGCCTATCCATCACATTGCACGGAAATGCCTATGGGGGCGCAGGGCATGGGGGGTCATCTGCCCTGAACTTCAGATGGGCTCTGACCACCAGGTCACAGCAGTATGTGTGGTCTCTTAACCCGTGTTCCTTTGCCTCGCTGGCAACAAGACTGTCCCAGCAACCACCTGGGGCCTGTGTGCCTTAGCAAGTGGCCTTTTCTATGGCTGCTGTTCCTGGGCACCAACACCAGGTACCGGCCATCCCGAGCCTCCCAATGCCCCATGGGTGTGGTCTGAGCCAGCGCCTCCCCAGCCCGACTCCCGCAGGAGTACTGCCTGAGAGCCCCCCCCATCCAGAGGCACAAGCCCCCGCTGGGAGACCTGCCAGCCCCCTCAGGCCCTGCTGCCTCCCCCTGTCCTAAGTACTTCCAGAGGATGCCAGCTCACGATGCACCCTTGGGACCCACTCCCCACAAAGCCCTTCCTGGGGTGGTGTCAAACAAGATCCCGTCCCAGGGGGTCCTTCCCTGAGCTGGTTCTTGCCCTACCCAGGAGGTCCCACCCACTGCCCTGGCAGCAAGTGCCAGCCCCTGAATTCCCTTGCTTGGGCTAGAAGGTGGGACTTCATGGCTTCTTGACGACCCTGCCCTAATAGGTGTACCTGCCAGCTGCCCTTTTGGCTCTGGGCACTGCATCGGCCTCTAACATAGCCTGCCCTGTGCAACCCTGAGCGAGGTGCCAACCCACCTGCTGACTGGTGCCCAGGGTGCTCTGACTTCCCCTTAAGGACAGCGTGGTGTCTGACACCTCCAGCTTCGGAGGTGGCTGAGGAGGAGGGGGTGGGGGTGGGTGGGGCCGGCTCACACCTGTGCAGGCGAAGAGCACTTGGCAAAGTGTATTTTATAGTAACTGCTGCCTAACTGTTCTGTTTGAAAGGTTCTTATCTGGATAAACTTGTCTTCTGAAATTCCACAATAGTCCTCTGCTTTGTTCAAGCCTCAGGGGCCCCTTTCCTCGGGAAGCCGGGTGCAGGGTCCTGGGGCAGTTCCTGTCCTTAACCCCCAGGCCTAAGCTGTAACTCCCTTCACCTAGACCTGTCTAGCAGGAGACAGGGGAGGGGGGCCTGGAGCAGAGGCTAGCCCTGCCGGGACTCCTGGATTAGGGGGACTGGCCTGGGGGGTTGCCCTGCAGCCACAGCCAGGGCCACACACGTGGAAAGTCCTCAGGAGCTGGAGGCGGGCTCTGCAGGCGTGGGGGGCGTCTCGTGCCTCCCTGGGCGCTTGTGGGCCCAGGAGCTTCAAGTCTGGTCCCAGGTTACGGAATGACCTCAGTGGCTGGTGGTTAGAGGGTCTGAGGATTGTGCAGCCTTGTTTCATGGTGGCCCTGAGCCTTGCCTTCAATCTCGCTTGTGATTGTGGAAATGAGAAGTGGCCTTGGGTTTTGGGGCTGGACTGAGGGCATCAGCTTCTGCTTGCAGGACCTGCTGGGTCACAAGGTCTCCCTGAGGCCCAAGGAGCCTTGACCAAAGCAGGTACCATTTAAAAGTGATGAACCTAAGACTGTCTCACTGACCTCGCTTTGTAGTTCCCTGCCCACCCCATATGGGGCGCCCAGCCTGCTGGTCCTGCTCCGCACCCCAGGGCTCAGGGTCCTCAGGGCTGGGCAGGGCCGTGTGAGTGCCCCCAGGGAGGCCTGGCCTGGAAAGCCTCCTCGGATTACAGCTGATAGGTGAGTGGAGCCCTAGATACCGAGTCGGGGACTGACTGCCGCTCGCTCCAGGGCCGTGTCCTAGATTCTCTGAGCCCCACTCTTGGAGCCTCTGTGTGTTCTCTGGCACAAACCTTCCTCCTGAGAACACCTGCTGGGCACCAGGAGCTGAAGTCAAGGGCCTCCTGTCCTAGTGGGCAGGTCTGGGGTAGCCAGAGGGGACCCCCTGGGGCGTCCTTCTTACCAGAAGACACACGAGTGGGGAATGTTTGGTGTCCAGAATTGTTGTGAGGCCCACATTTCTGTCCCAGAGAAGCATGAGGCATACAGTACAGACAGGCATTGGCAGGGCCTGGAGACATGGTGTGGAGGGGGGACTGCCCACGTTCGTTTGAGGGTGCACGTGGGCTCCAGCAGGCTGCGCGGGGTCTGTCTGGGAGGGCAGAGGGCCAGGAGGCCTGCAGCAGAACCAGTGGAGCACAGACCACAGCAGCCCCAGCCTGCCTGAGCCCAAGCGCATGTGGCCATGCACTGCTCAGGTGTCCTCAGGCCATGTGGCCATGTGGTCACGCATTCAGACAGCCCTGGGGCCATGTGGTCCTGCTGCCTTGTGCTCAATCCTTACTCAGCCAGCAAGGGCCGAGGGCGGGCGTTCCTGGGGGAGGCCCCACATGGCTTTGCATCCTCACACCACAGGGGAATGGTGGGCAGCTGGTGACGTGTCCCTCCTGAGTGACAGGCCGGGGTCACAGATGATGGGGTAGAGCCCTCCAAGAAGAGCGGGAGTCGGGGGAGGGCACAGGGAAAGGGAAGGAGGGCCCTGGGATAAAGCCCCCAGCTGCAAGTGAAGCCATTGGTCCTGTTTTTCTTTTATTTGCAGTTTCCCGAGACAGAACAAAATAATGATTTTTTTACACTTACAAGGCTCAGAAAGAAAAGACAATGAAACTCAGCAAAAGAGAGAAGAGGAAGGGCCGGCCGGCACTGCGGGCAGCCGGCCCTCCACAGAGCGGGCCGGCCGATGCCACCACACCTCGGACGCCTAGCTAGAGGAGCAGGTGTGGCTTGCTCGAAAGGGGTCATGCAAAAGAACTATCCCCCAGAAAAAATCCCCAAAGTATCCCAGACAGGCAGCTCCGTGGAGATGACAGGTGAAGGGAGAAGGGAGGAAGCCCCCAGAGGGGAGGATGGCCGGGCCCCACGCTGTCCACGGCGAGCACTGCCACTGCCTGAGGCCCAGGGAGCCCGGCAGATGTTTACCCTGTGTCCATGGGTGGGGACAGCTGTCCTGAGCACAGCCGTGGACGGGCAGGTGAGTGTCCATTCTGAGTGTCGCTCCCCACTCTGTGCCCCTCCCTTGGCTTGATTTGTGGGGGAAGATAAAGAAAACCCTTGTTGAAAATGTGAATTAAGGGGGTAGGTGTTGGGGCGCCAGGTCCTGCGTCTCTTCCATCACAGCCCCTGACCCGGCCGGCTGCCCCGGGACCCCGGTACTGCCACCTTACCACGCGGCCCGAGCCTGAGCTGCACCTCAGTGCCCACCAGCACGAGGGGCACCTCAAGATAGGCCCAGCCCGTGCTCTCCTCATCCCTGGGTCCCCATCACACACACGGCATCCTCCCTCAAGAGGCCTGGCCGGGGGTTCACCGTGCCCTGCCCCTTGGGCCCAGGGCGGCCCTCCCTCCCTCTCTCCCTCCCTCGGCTCCAGACCCAGACTCCAAAAGCACTGCCTGGAAACATCTGCCTGGACCAGTCTCGGCCTGGGAGCCCAGAGAGCCATGCACCTGCCTTCTGACCCCTCTCCCCTTCCTGCCTCTTGACCAAGTCCAGAGCCCCTCGTAGACGTGCCAGCAGGGGGAAGGTTGGCAGAGGAAGAGGTGACCCTGAATGGGAGGGAGGCCAGGGGCTCCCCTCCCGACAGGGCTGCAGCCAACAGTGTCCTCTCCAGAAGTCTGCCAGGCATGAGGTCTGACATTAAGGGGTGCCTCCCCCCCACCAAACCTCCTCGGCCCTGGAGGAACCAGAACTGGAGCCTTGGGCCTGAGGGGGCTTCTTGGATGGCTTGTCGGGCGCCCGGGGGCCGGCCCGGCCTCTGCACTGCTCATCCATGCTGGGGGCATGAGAGGAAAGGAGGGGGACAGCCGTGCTCAGGTTCCCTGGGCCCCAGGTGGCCGACACTCCTGACAGCAGCCATGCACGGCAGGGAATGCAGACACCTGGGGAGGGGCGTCACCTAACACACACCGTTTCTCGGCCCGGCCCCTGTGGACACGTTCACTGCCCCATGGTCCCCAGGGGCCAGGAGCGGACAGACACATGGAGCGTGGGTGGGGGGGTGCCCGTCGGTCCGAAGCCCCACAAATGCCAGTGATTTTTACAGCTTTTTCCTTTTTTTTTTTTTTTTTTCCCCGTTTCATCCAACATCAATTGTTTCTGTGGTTGTTGTCGTCTTGTTGTTAAAAAGAAATCACATCCGGTCTTGGTTTTCTGCAGACACAGGCACCAGGGGAGGAACGAGGCAGACACAAACATGCGACAGGCAGGCCACCTTGGCGGCCGGGCTCCAAACACCGAGTCTGTCCCGCGACGCCGGCCGCGGCTCTGAAAGGGGACGAGAGTGGGTGGTCAGCCCTGCCCCCGGGGGGGGGCATGCCCCACCCCCTCGCCCGCAAGGCCAACGCCAGGGACACCCACCTTCACTGCAGCGGGGCCACGGGCGCGCCCGAGCAGTGGAAGTGCACGTTCTGCCACTTGCCGTCACGGCGATGCCACACGCGTGTCTCCTCGGACTGGCTGGTGCGGGGCCGGCCCTGCCCGTCGATGTACTGCGTGAGGCGGATGTAGGCGATGCATGCAGCGTCCTCCCCGATGACGTGCACGTGCGGGTTCAGTATGGTCGTGTGGATGGGCTTGCTGTTCTTGGCGAGCACTACGGCAGGGGGCGGGGACGGGGGGGTGCCGCTGGGCTCGGCGCCCTGTGCGCCCCGCCCACCTCCCGTATCTGCCCCACCCGCATCCCTACCACAACGCCCCGCCCAAGGCCTTGTTTCCGCCCGCGCCCCGCCCACCGCCCGTCTCCGCCCGTCTCCTGTATCTGCCCCGCCCACCGCTCGACCCCCTCGCTCACGGTTCTCGAAGTAGAATCTGTGGAAATCCATCCCTTCCACCAGATTGCCCAGGGCTTCAGGCTCGAACGAGGTCAGGCCTGGGTCACAGATTTTCCTGGGGGGCAGACCCAGGTGAGGAGGGGCCCCGGCCACGCCCCTCCCCTCCCTCTCGCCGCGGGGAGGGGGGGGGGGGGGGCCGCGGGCCCCCCCCCCCCCCCCCCCGCGCCGGGGGGAAACCCCCCCCCCCCCCCCCAGCCCAGACGCCCGGCTCACGCGTAGGCTTCGAAGTCCCCGCTGTTGACCGCCTCGATGAGCTGCTCCGTGATCTTGATGACCTCCTGCTTCCGCGCTGCGGGGACACAGCCGCCCAGTGACCGAGGGCCGCCCCAAGCAGCCCCGCTGCGGGCCTAGAGAAGGGCGTCTCCAGAGCCCACCTGCCCCTCCTTCCCGGAAGGGACCCAAATCCGTCCAGATCGGGCCGCGCCCTCCGAGGCCCCCAGTGCCCTCCCCTCCCCCCCACCCCCCCACCGTTTCCAAGGCCAGCTATGCTGTGTCACATACAGCATCTCCAGGCGACAGACATACTCCCTCCGAGGGACCACGTGTCTGGAGGCCAAGGGGAAGCCAAGCCTGCCATAACCCACCCTGTGGTACCCCCCATTCCTGGGCCGCATCCGCTGGGCCCTCTGCAGCTGCGGCACTGGGTCCTGCGTCCCGGCTCCTGCCACCTGGATGTGGCTCACCAGCCCTGCTCCAACCCGTCACATCTTTAGGAATGTCCACTAAAGGACGAGGCCAGGAAGGCCTGGGGGCTGCAGGGTGAGGATTATGAGCAAAAGCCAGGGCATAGGGCCATGCGGGTCCAGTAGGGAAGTCGAGTCTGTGGGTCTCTTCCTGACTGCCCGCTGGCCTCCACCTGTTCCATCCTGGCCAAGGTGAGGGCCCCCCCCCCACTGTCCCCCCCACATTTCCCGTCCAGCCAGCGCCCCCCATGCCAGAGCTCTGCCTGCTTGGCCTCTGGCCTGGTCCCCAGGGTCCCCTCCGTCTCTTTACAACTTATTTTCATGCAAACTATTATAAACATATGGAAGAAGTGGACAATAATATAGCCGCACACCCTGCTGATTCAAACCAGCACAACTTTCAAGACAGCTGGGAAATAAAACCTTACAGGTATACTTGTGAGTGACTGTGTTTCCCTAAATTTTGTTCTTCACCCCCTTCCCCAGAGACCGCCTGTCCTGACGCAGGTGCTTAACACCCTCCATGCAGATACACACCAGAATACACACGCCGTGAGCACGTGTGCACAAACATCACGGTGCTCTCTTAAAGCAACACCGTGCTGATGGTAAACCTCGGATGCAGCAAATGCACTGAAGGCGGGGCCCCCTCCCCAGAGGCTCCCTCCCAGCTCCCTGCCCCTGGAGGGGGGCGTCTGTCTGCAGGTCTCTACTCTTCAGCGAGTAGTACCCCTGGGAACAGCACACAGGTGAGCTGACCTGCGGGCCAAGGTCCCAGCGCACAGACTGCAGGGTCTAGAAGGGTGAACGTGGTATCCTGAAGCATGTGCCCACAGCCCTGGAGTGAGACTGCCCATTCTCCCTGCCACCAGCACCCACAGATGCCCACCTGGAGGGTGGACGAGCCTAGGCGGGCCTTGAGTGCTGCACAGGTTCTGGACTGTGAAGACACGAGGACCTCCATGATACCTGAGGTGTTGGGTGCACATGTGGGCTTGTGTGTCGTGAGAGGGAGGGCACATGTGCACATACGTCACATATGTGCGTGTTCGCATGTATAGGTTCATACATGCGCTGCCTTGCAAGTTTTTCCTACCTTGACAAACCCTCACTCCAGGCCCAGCTGACTTCTGCTAAGTTCCCATTTCCACCAAACTGTGCCTGGGGTCCAGGAAGGTGGGCTGCAGGCTCATTACCCTAAGGTCTCATGTCCACCTGTGTCCAGCAAAGCTCTGTCCCTACACACGCCACTCTCTGTTCTCAGTCTTGGGCTCCCTGGGCAGGGCAACATCGGACATTCGGGGTCCCTCTGCATCACCTGGCTTCCCTCTACTTGGGCGTTTCTGCTGCAGGGATGCTATCCACCCTCCCAGGTTCCCGTCACCTTAATGGAGATGGCTTCCCACTGAAGAAGCCCCAGAGCTGGGCACCCTCTGCCTGTGTGAGGATGGCGGCGCCTGCGTGTCCGTGTCCGGACACCCGACACCCACTAGCCTCCCTCCCCCACAGAGAGCACCCCACAGAGCCCGCAGCCAACAGCCCTGCCGCTGGGGCTGAGCAACAGTTCCTCTGTCTCATTCCCAGGGCACTCTGATTTATGGTCACTCCATGCTACAACAAGTCAACCTGATCTCCCACTTAACGAAAGAGTATTGGGTGTTTTTAAACAAACTATAATAAAAAAAAAAAGAGAATCCGCAACAGGGAAAGTATTAAGTAAACAGGAGAGAGTCGGGGCACGGCACAAATTGTGGAGCCTGGTGTATGGGAAACAGCTGCCAACCCATTCTGCAGACAGGGAAGGCGAGACTGCCGAGGGGTTGCTGCCCAGACCCAACCCTGGCCCCTGGGGCGTGCTGCATGAGGGGCTCCCCGGAGGAAAAGCCTCTGAGCAGAGCACAGTCTGACTGTCAGCAGGCGACTCTGGAGATGGGGCTGTGGTGTGTGGGCAAGGGTCTGGCTTGGGAGGGGTGCCAGAGGTGAACAGGAGCCCCCACACTCCCTCTGGCTCTCCTCGGGCAAGCTTGCAGGCCAGGGAGGCCAGGCTGCTGGCAGAGGGTCTGGGGGGGGCCCAGTGACTCCAGACTGGCCCTAATCCACGTACCCTGGCATCTGCAGAGGTACCGGGAGCGCCAGCCACACCAGGCAGGCAGCTGCACAGGATCAGCCTGGATTGGGTGTAATCCCTGATTATGGAGAACAGGGCCTGGGCCAGTGGGTACCGACCCCATTTACATAGAAACACAGCTGGCAGGCACATTCCAGGGAAGGAGGGGACCCAAGACCCACAGCGGGACGGCCCCTGTAGCCTAGGCCCCCGTGCTGGGAGAGGCAGACAGTGGTCCCAGAGTTGGAGATGGGGGCACCCCATCAGAACCTTGAGAGCCAGATCTCAGCCCAAACAGTCCCTTCTTTGGGCCCATGTGACTCCCGTCCTTCACCTGCAGCCCACCCAATACTCAAAAGAGCCAGGGTGCTGAGGACAGGGGGAAGGGCACATCTAGGAGCTAGGAGCCTGGGGGCACCTGCCCTCAATCCCCCTAGTGCTCACCCCTCCCCCACCAGTCCTGCCACACCAGTGGCTGCAGGCCCCTGGCACCCCTCCCTTTGGCTCTGCTCCAGGCCCCTTCCTGTAGTCCCCACCTCTGTAGTTTGGTTCAAGACGGACCCCCAAGGTCAGCCTGCCATGCTCAGACCCACAGCACGTCCTGTCCTCAGAGCCCCCAACCCGGTCTGCTGTGCAGACTCCGAAGGCAGGTGGGCTGGGGTACTGTGGCAGGCACCCCCACCCCCACCCGTGTGCACCTCTCCACAAACCCAAGCCTCAGCTTCTGTGATCCAAGGCCGGGCAGGCCCAGAGAGTGCACAAATGGGGAGTTCTGACCCCTCCCCAGGCTCTGCTGCGCACCTACCACAGCCCTGCCCCCTCCCTCACAAGAACCCCTGGCCAAGCAGGCCCGCAGAGACCTGCACCTGCCCTCGCCCCTCTGGCAAGTACAGAGAGCTCCCTAGGAGAGCCACTGCTGCCCGAAGGCTGCCCCTGTGCCCCCCGACACTGCTTTGCTTGGCTCCCCCTCCTCCCTACCCTGGCCCTCAGGCCTGGGCTGGGGGTGGGGGAGGTGGGGGGGTGGGATGGGTGGGGTGGGGGCACAGGATCTGCCAGCACTCACCCAGACACTCCCCAGCCATGCCCGGCCCCTGGCCCGCAGCCTCTCATCCGATAGCACCTCCCTGCATGTCAGTCCCTGGGCAGGTTGGGGGGGGCTGTGGCCCTGGGCTGTCATCCACCCCTGTAAGCGATCCTCACGGCAGTCGGCGGACGGGCTGGAACAGTCGGCCCCTCCCTTCCTGCCTGGGGGGGGCCGCCCCGTGCCCCCCCCCCCCCCCCCGCCCAGCAACCGACACTGCGTCACAAGGGCCACAGATCACAGGCGCGAGCCTCTAGTCCACCCCGACTGTTTCTGATTCTTTCCTTCACGACCGCCCATCTGCAACCACAAACTTGGTTTCTGAGGCCAAATGCCACCTTCATGGGGAACTCCCTGTGCCCCACTTTCTGCCCCCACAAGCTGGCTGCTCCCCAGAGTGAGGGGGCAGCACACCACAGCTGGGGGTCTCGACACCCCTGTGAGCTCCCAGTTGCAGCCAGGGGGCCACTCAAGGTGCTACTTACATGGGGTGGGCAGGGGGCCTGGGAGAGCCGAAGATGGGCAGGATGGGGGGCCCTGGACTTCCAGAGCCCCTGAGCCCCTCTTCACTGTGTTCAGGATGTCAGAGAGCCTGGGGGCTGGGGTGGAACAGACCAGACGTGAACAGGGAGCAGGTGGGGAGCATGCAGGACAGAAAACTGTGGGCTAATGAGCCAAGCCAGAGAGAATAGGAGACAGAGTGGGACGTAGAGGGGGCATTGGGAACATAGGGGGACAGAAGGGGGAATGTGGAGGAACACAGGGGGATGTCGAGGGATGTGAGGGGTACTGGGGGGTGTAGGGGGATGTGGGAGGACAAGGACGGACATGGGAGGACAGGGAGGGTGAAAGTGGACAGGGGGAGGCTCCAGTAATGCCTGGCAAATGCACCTGTCTGCCCATGGCAGGGCGGTTGCTGTGGGCAGAGGAGGGTGCCCTCCAGGGAGGACAGAGGAAGCAGCCCAGCGTGTGGAGAACCCAGTGGAGAACCCACGCGGGCAGGAAGCCCAGGCCTTTTCCTTCTGAGTCCACAAGCCTGTGAGCTGGAGGAGCTTCTGCAATAGCTCCTTGTCCCTAGACTCCCTGGGGCCCTCTGGGTGCTCAGGGCAGGGGGCGCCATGAGGTCACAGTGACTGGGAAGGTCAGGCAGGCGATCCAAGGAAGGCAGGAAGCACAGTGGGACCCCAGAGGGCCCTGCCCAGAGCTCAGGAGACCCTCTGGGGCTGGACCGCAGTGCAGGAGGGAGAAAGGCTGGGAGCTGCTGGAGGAGTTAGTGCCAGACGCCCAGACAGGCCCGGACAGTTAGCCTCCGGCAACCTGGCGGGGGCAGCCGAGGCCGTGCATGGTGGGCGCAGGGGCCGCTGAGCAGCAGGGACAGCAGGCCTGGGAACACTACTTACACAGAGTGGGCAGGGGGCCTTCAGCTTCCAGGGCCCCCGAGCCCCTCCTCGTGGAGCTCAGGACGTCAGGGACCCTGAGGGCTGGCGTGGACAGGAGGCAAAGCGTGAGGTGGGGCAGAGAAAGCAAGGCCCTGCTCTCTCCCACCCTGGGACCGGTCTCAGCAGCAAGAAGCTGCTGGGCAGAGACCAGAGTGGGGCCTTAGCCTACATGGAGGGCCGGCTGAAGGGGCAGAGGCAGCCAGAGGGGACCCAGGAGGAGCACTGCTCCAGAGAGACAGGGCCTGCAGCAGGGGCCTCCTGATGCAGAGAGAGCAGGGAGCTAACAGGAGGTGGAGATGAGTTGGGGGTGTGTGGTTTCTGAGCTCCCCGAGCCCCTGCTCGTGGAGCTGCTCCTCACTGTCAGGAACCCTGGGGACTGGGGCAGACCTGTCAGGAACCCTGGGGGCTGGGGCAGACCGGTGAGATGAAACTGGAGACAGGTGGGGACACACAGGAAAGAGAGGACAGGGAATGGGACGAGGACCCCGGTGGGGTCAGGCTGAAAAGGCCCAGACACAGCTCACAGCGGCCCCAACACCAGGTGGTGGGGTCCAGAGGCAGTGGGGAGGCGGGGCTCCAGGAGTGCTGGGAGGTGTCCAGACCGATGACCTTCAGTGTGCGGGAGTCTGCCCTGTTTCCTGGGGCTGTGGGGGTCTGGGCTGGGAGGAGGCTGGCCAGGCCAGGCTCTGCCGGACCCTCCTGCAGGCTTGGGCCATCCAGGCCCCCACATGGCCAGACAGAACGGCAGGCCAGAGTGTCGGGGAGGCCTCCGTGCTGACGGTTTAGGCCTGTGTCTGTCTGTCTGGAGAAAACACACAAACAGCCACTCTCCCTTCATCCAAGGACCTATGCTCCCCTCTGTTTTCGGGTGTCACTGCATCCTCCAAACTGATAGAATGGCCGGCCATCAGGCCCTGGGGCAGCCCTGAGGGGTGAGCATGTGGCTGAGAGGATTAGGTGGTCTGGCGTGGCTGGGACGCCACATTCCCTCCCTGGGGATGCTGACAAGGTGGAGAGCAGAAGAGGGGTGCCTGGGCACACAGGGAGGGCGCTCTGCCGCCCTCTGAGGCCCAGGCATGGTCACTGGCCTTGCACAGAGTGGAAGCCCAACGCACTCACACAAGTGGTGGAAACATCCAAAACCCAGAAAAAGCCCCCTTGTTGGTTATCTACTTATCAACTACCAGCTAAGCAAAATCACAAATGTAAGGGAATTTAACAGAAGTTGAGCAAATTCAGCTCTCAAGGTGTTCCCCACAGGAACCGGTCCTCCGCAGGGTGGGAGGCCCCTTGCTGGTCAGGGCGCCAGGGCCGGAGACTGCCCCGGGGCCGGCCCATCTGCCAGCACGCCCTGGTCAGGCTCCCGCCGACACACCCGCTCGCAGACGCCCCGCCCCCACGGCTCACCCACGAGCCACCTCGCGGGCGCCCCGCCCCCATGGCCCACCCACCAGCCAGCGCCTCGCAGACGCTCCACCCCCTTGCCGGCGCCCCGCCCCCCTCGGCCCACCCACCAGCCCACGCCTCGCAGATGCCCCGCCCTTCGCAGACGTCCCGCCCCCCACGGCCCACCCATCAGCACAGCAGAATGCGTGCGACACTCGTACCTTTTGTGTCTTCGTCCTCTATGGTGGTGTGGGTGCTGTCCGACGACTCCTGGGGACACACAGGGACGCAGGAGGTCAGGACGTGGCCTCCACGGGCCCTGGAGGTGCCCTCCCAAGGCTGCGGGGCCCCAACCCAGAATCCCCAGGGGCAGGGCAGGAGCTTCGGGCTGGCCCCCAGGGGTCACCCATCCCCTGGGCTCAGCCATTCACGTCCCCAACAGCCCAGGGACGTGACTGTGCCTTCTCCCGACAGCACACGCCTGGTAGAAAGACCCTGTGCTCAGGGTAGAAAGACTCTCTTTAATAAGCCAGGAAGATGGGCCCTTTAAAACTCCACAATACTGGTGAAGAAGAAAGGTACCCACAGCCTGTGCATTTTGGCAGACAGGGTGGGAAGCTTCCAGAAGGCCCTCAAGAGCCTTGGCCCGGCCCAGGCAGAATGGAGCTGCACCCACACCTCCTTCCCCAGGAGGGGGCCGCCTGCCCCTTAGGCCTCGACTGTCCAGCATCACTCCTCAGGTGGCCTTAGAGGGCAGCCGGGCAGCCCCACACCTGGGGGCTTGCCGCCCTTCAGATAAGAAACCAGGTGCTGTTCACCTGTTGCGCGGTTCCCAAGACGCTGGCTTGCTCCTCAGAAAGAACCATCTTAACGGAGTTCTGGAGGGCCCCCTCTGGCCCCCTGACTGAACACACTGCTCTGGGCCCTGCCCAGAAGTGGGGGGTCTGCAGCCTGGAGGACCAGACGGTTGTCTAGAGCCCCTTTGCAGGGAGAACAGGAGCCTCTCACCCCAGACACAGGGTCCAGGGACACCGGTCCACAGTCACAAGGCAGGAGTGCACCCAGGCCCTTCCCAGCACCTGGAGTCTGGCTTGGTCCCCCTGATCCCGGCCCACAGCCAGCGTGTGGGGGGGCCCTTTGGGGAACCCAGGCCTGGGTATGTGCGTGTGGGGGTGAGGGGTGCTGGTCCTAGAAACAGCTCAGCCGCCCACGTCCCTCCCGCCACCCTAGAGCCAGCCCCTTCTCTGGCCCGGGCAGGCGAGGTGCCTATGCAGCAGAGATGATGTCAGAGCGGGAGCAGAGAGGAGGCAGGCTGCCTCAGCAGGAAGCACAGGGGGCACAGAGGTGAGCAATGGGGGAAGCCAGGGGCGTCTGAGCTACTCCCTCCCCCAACCGCCCCTTCTCCCCTGGGACCTGCATCTGAGACCACCCTGCGCTCCTGGCCCCTGGCTGCCCGGCGGACAACATGAGATGTAGACCTTGCTCTGGGCCTTGGGCAGCCCCAGACTTGTGGGGCTCACTGTACACCTGCCCCCCTACTCTCAGCACAAGTGCCCCCCAGGGGTCACCGTCCCAGACATGCCCCCCGCTGGCCTGCCTCCTGCCCGAGCATAGGCTCCTAAGGGGGGACGGGGTGCGGCAGTACCTTGATCCCGTCCACAGGGTTATGAATGACGGTGGTTTGAGGCTCCTACAGAAGAAGGAAGCAGAGGAAGGAAAGAGGGAAGTGAGCAGGGCAGGAGGGGGTAGGGGAGGAGGGCAGCGGAGCCAGGATGGCAGGAGGCGGAGCGGGCTGGGGAGGCCAGGGTGGGCCCAGAGGTGGGCAGAGAGCAAGCGTGTATGCCCACGGAGTGTGGGAGACAGCATGGGGGCCCCGGGCAGGAAAACAGGTCCTCCCCTCCCTTGGCTGCCCCGGCATGGTGGGGGCACGGTTTTGAGGATGTCATGGGGGTGGAGTGGCACATGGGATGGACAAGGTCTGAGACGGGGCTGGCTGTGTGGGACCCTCCCCTCCTGGACTAAGGCTGCCCCCACGTGTGAGATGGCTATCTGGCAAACCCAGCCTTCCTGTGGGCATGTGGGGCTGGCTCCCAGAGGTGGGCCTGTGGCCCATGGAAACACCACACGTGCTCTGAGAAAACTCAACCTGTGCGCCAGCAAGCCCCAACAGGCCACCGTGGGCACACAGCTCCACCACAGCACCCTGCTCCACCAGCTGGGGCGTCCCCTGGGCAGGATCCCCCAGATAAGGGCCAGAGCCAGAACCCCCGGGCTTCTCCCTCCGGGCAGCCACAGGCCAGCACAGCCACAGACGTGCATCTCCCTGGCCGCTGGGGGACTTGCGGGCCACGGCCTCTGATGGGAAGGTACCCCGGCTGGATCTCCACCAGGGAGACTGCCAAGGGCTCCTGTCTCCCTCAGATCACTGGGTGGGCTCCGAGGCCATGACCAGCCTCACCCATTCTTTCCCAAAGCCCCCACGTCCTGGACGGTGCACCCATGCAGCACCTGGGAGGTGTCTTCCCGGCAGGCCACGCCCCTGCACAGTGTCTGCCTGGGCACTCTGGATGGGCCTGCCGAGGGCGGAGGATCAGAAGTGCCTTCCACCTTGGGCCTCGCCTCACTGGCCGCCTGAAGGCCTCTCATTGCTGACTCAAGAGTCCACCCGGGCGGGAGGCTGGGCCAGTCCCTGGCACCTGAGGGAGGCTCCCGAGCACAGCCCCAGGACTGCCTGAAAGGGGCTCAGCCCTCATTTCACACCGAAGAGGCAAAGGGGGCTGGAGGACCAGGCGTCCACCAGAGACAGGGCGGGGCTGGACCCCACCTTCACCCCAGGCCTCTGGACAGGTGGCCACCACATGGCCGGGGTGCAAGAGGGCCGGAAGCAGGGGGCTGAGGGGCTCAGTACCAGGGCGGCTGGAGGGAGTGTCCCCTTAGGGCTGGTCACAGCTGCACTGTTTTTGGTGCTGTTCGTCTGGGGCTGTGGAGAGAGGAAGAGGAGGTTAGAGGGACAAGGGGAAACTGCCTGGCCTAGAGGGAGGCCCTGCAGGGCGGTGGGGTAGGGCCAAGCGGCAGGGTCAGGGCTCCCCCCAGGGCCTAGCGCACTCACCTTCACCGCGTCCGCTTTCTTGTTGAGTAAGCTCTTGGCTGCTGCATGAGGACAAAACAGGCAACATGAGCAAAGGGCCTGGGGCCAACACCACCCAGCCCTCAGTGTGAGGTGACCTCAGGGACCGGCCAGGCTCTGGTGGCCCCCAAGAGCAAGTGGGCAGGTGAGTGACCCGAGGTCCTGAGGCAGAGTGGCTTCTGTGGCCAGCAGGGACAAAGCAGGCCTGTGGGCCATCCTGGAGAGGCCCGCCCAACACCCTCATCCCCAGGACAGGTTCCTTCCCTGGGCCATGCACCATGACCCTGCAGGACACAAAGATCCCCCCACCCACCAGGGCCCCGCCCCAGGTAGGAACACAGGACAGGGCACCAGGGTGGGGTGGGGACATCTGTCTGCCCTTCTCTGTGTTCTTGGGCAGGGGTGGTGGGCTGTAACTGGCCACCCAAGCAGGGAGGGGCGCGTCCCAACCCCAGGGGCCTGCCTGCTCTCAGCCTCCTGGCCCCTTCTCAGCCAACAGGACTCGGGCCCCTGGCTGTGCCCCCACCCCCCGGCTGAGAGCACCCAAGGGGCTGCCTCATTCTTCGTGAACCAGTCCTGGCCTTGCTCTGGCAACATCGGTGCCAACACGGGCCTCTCCGTCCACGCCTGAGGACCCTGGGCTCTGAGTGGGTTCAGCAGGATGATACCCTTGGGGGAGGGTCCCAGGCTCCCACCACCTGTAGGATGCTGGGCAGGTGGCCTGTGTCACCCCACTTGACCCCACAGAGATTGGGGCAGACTAGCCCTCACCTCACTCTCTCCTGTGCGAGCCCACCCTGCCCACATCTGCGTTCTCCTGAGTGGTTAGTTTTGATGGTGGAACCTCGGAACACAGGAAGTCAACTTACCTCACAGGAAGGGAAAGGTGAGAACAGAGTAGTGAGGAAAAGAAAAAAAAACAGGATTTGTATGGTCAGGTCAGGGTCCAGAGTGCGGCCCAGGACTCAGCCTGGTCCTGCCCACCCCACCCACGCTCCCCGGGGGCAGACGCCGGAGGGGTAAGGTCCAGGGTGGTCAAGACCCCCGCCCCCCTCCCCCCCAGCCAGCCCTGAAGCGGAGCCGCCAGCTCAGCGGGACCAGGATGGTCCCCAGTGGGCCTGGCCCAGGACCCCTCGCTGCCAGGAATGTCCCCGGAGGAACGCCCACTCGGGGCTGTGACATCAGACCCTGTGAACGCTTGGGCCCAGTGGTTCTCAAAGTGGGGTCTCCACACCAGCAGCATCAGAACCACCCAGGTCCACCCCAGACCTCTGGGGCGGGGGGGGGGGGGGGGGGGGGGGGAGGTGGGTGTGGTATCCGTTCAGTTGTCATCTGTCGTGGAGGATCCTAACTCTGCTTCACTTTGAGAACCACCGTCAGGTCCCCAGTGCAGCAGCCAAGGGGGATCCCAGGCCTTGGGCCGCTGCCTGCTAACCACCTTCCTCTCTGCAGTCACCCATCGCTGCCCTCTGGGCTCTGGGCAGGGACGCAGGTGACTGTGCTGGGCCAGAGGGCGCTATGGGGCTGTTGGAGAGCCACCCTGGGTGCAGTGTCTGTTCCTGGCCCTCCCCCCACAACCATCCTTTCCTCCCCCAGGATCCAGGGAGCAGCATTGCACCACAGAGCCTGCCTCCTGGCCCAGCTCCGTGTCCGGTGGTCCTCATTCTGTGAGAGGTGTCTTGGGGTCCCAGTAAGCGAAGGGACAACAGGCCACCCCTTTCGTTGCCCCCCAGGCCTGCCTGCTCTGTGTCTCAGCCTCCCGATCCTGGGGAAGCTGGATCAGAACTGTGTCCTGATGCCCTGCCAGCCGAGACCCAAGAACGTCCCAGCACCAAAAATGCCACCTTCTCAGAGCCACTTCCTGCGGCAGGGATTGGGGAGGGGTGGGCTAGCCCTGCACACGGAGCCCTGGCTCCTGACCTAGCGATCAGCATGGCTCCCTTGACCCACACTGACCTCAGCAGTCCGCTCCCTTGACCCCCCACCCCCACCCCGGCGTCCAGTGCGCAGGCAGAGCCCAACTCCTCTGAAGTGGGAGTCATGCGGGGACCCCTCCTCCTGGGCCCACCAGCTGGGGGCGGGTCTCCTCCAGGGGCCAGGAGAGGAAGGCCCCCAGCCCCTCTGAAGGCGCACGCATCAAGGCAGGTGAGCAGGCAGGCAAGCTGACCCCGCACCCAAAGTTAAGCCGGGCCCTGCGGCGCCCTGTGGGCTCAGCATCAGAGCGGTGCAGCCCAGGGCTGGCTCGGCGCCCTGAGGAGATGCGGTCGGCACTGCCCCCCCCCCCCCCCCCCCCCGCCCCGAAGCCAGGCCCTGGGTGGAGGCAGATGGAGACCCTGGGACAGACCTGGGTCTTACGAGGGTACTCCCCTCAGTCCCTGACTCAGTCAAATCCCAGACTGTGCTACTCGACACGGCAACACCCATCTGGGGACTCGGACGGCTCCACCAGGGCCCGGGCTCCGGAAAGCCCGACAGCAGACACCAATCCTCTCACCCAGTTCCCAAACCCTGCCCCCAGGAGCCACCTCTAACCAGCATCTGTGAGTGTGGGCGCAGCATGGACTGGAGCTGTGCCCTCCCTGGAAGCAGCTCCTGGAAGAGTTCACAGCTCCACCCAGATCGGTTCCAGGTCCTCGTCAACCCCCGTTTACACTGGCACTCGAAAGCACACGCTGTTCCATCTGTGCCACGGGGGCCTGAACTGGCGCCCCAGAACCCTGATAGATACACAGAGACCTTCTGGCCCACCCACCGGGGGTCCTCAGGCCAGGCCACGGTTGCCCCCTCCTGCTCCCTTCTTGAGGAAGGCCAAGACACTCCCATGAGCCTCAGCATCTGTCTCTACAAAGACCCCCAGGGCTCCTCTGGCCCAGGTGCTATGTCCCCCAGGGGGCCGCCCCCATGGAGGGGCAACAGCCTTGAAGCTGAGACCCCCCCCAGCCCAGTGCCACTGGCTGAGCTGGGCTGACCTAGCAGGGGGGCCCTCAGCCCACAGAGCGGGCCCAGCCTCTGCCCCGTCTGCACACCAGTCACCCGGGACAGCCATGCTGGGCTCTGTCCTCATGCATTGACCGCACCCGGGACACAGCGGCCCTCGGCGCCCAGGGCACTGCACATGCACACGGCCTCATGCGGTGCACATCCACTGCTGGCAGGCGGGCTGCAGGCAAGGGCCCTCGGCAGAGAGCAGCCAGAGGTCTCACTCGCTGTGGCTGGACAGCAGCTCTTCCCCAGGAGCGCCTAGGTTCCCTGCTCCCCACTCTCCTCCCCTCACCCGCTCTAGAAAGGCTCTGGACATTAAGCCAAAGACATCCTTCTGGGTAGGGCCTCGCCTGCTGGACAGGTCTGCTGCGCTCACAGGAGGGGCACGTACCCTCCTTCCCCAGGGCGGCCTTCCCCTGAGCATCCCATGGGGTGGTGGCTGGGAAGAGGGGCCCTCCAGCTGGGCAGGCGGGGCTGCACACCCGGCGGGGGGATCTTGAGGCAAGAGCTGGGGTGGACGGGGTCGGGGGTGAGGCCTCCACCCCGCCCCAAGGCAGAGCACAAGGCAATGGCAGGACGCCAGGCCCCGCAGCTCCATCCGGGGAGTCCTAGGATCGGCCCTCAGCTGGCTCCGTGCACCCTAACCCTGCCCACCCCCGGTTCACGCTGCTCCAGCAGCAGGTCCTGGGGTCTGCCAGCCCTTGGGGCTCTGGCTAAGGTCACAGCTGGGTGGTCGGGGCTGGCCGGAGCGGGTGACAGGGCTCGCGTGGGGCAGGGTCTCTGCCTCAGTGCCTTTTTCCCTGGGGCCCCCCATTCAGGGTTCGGGCCCAGCAGCAACCCTGAGGTTTCTTATGGGCAGTCAAGGTCACTGGGAACGGGGGTCTTGACAGACAAGTGGGGAGAGAGATCAGAGAGCAAAGGGCTCTGACCAGAGGGGTCTCCTGACCCCCAGACTCAGGGGCCAGGACCAAGATTCAATGAAATGAGTGTGGGCGGAGGCACGGCTTAGGGGTCACCTAGCCCGGCCCCTCCTTTAGCAGGTGGGGTCCGAGACCCTCCTTGTGGGACCTGTGCACAGCGGGAGCGGGGGCTCCCGGGGCCTCTGGGGTGGCCCTGGAGGCCCAGCCGGCAGCTGCGTGCAGCGAGGGGGCTGCGTGCCGACAGGCGGGACCCTGGTCAAGAACATCTACCTTGTTCCACCAGCCCCATGGTGGTGCCGGAGGCCGCGGTGGACATTGTGGCTGGAGCGGTGGTCTGTCTGCCCACTGTTAGCACCGGGTTAGAGACGAGGGAGGGGCGGACACAGACGGGGCGGGCAGGGGAAGGGAGGGGGAGAGACAAAGGAAGCAGAAGAAGATTAGAGTCCACGGTTGGGTGGCGAATGGCTCCAGAGTCCCGTTCACAGGAGAGTGGGAACAGGACCCAGACCAAGTGACAGTTGGAAAGCGTCTGCCTCCTTTCTCCTTAGAAAACCCCCGCGGGGGCTTCTCGCACCCACTGGGCGGGTGTGCGCACAGGACAGGTCCTATTAGTGTTGGTGTGACAGCATGCCCCCCCTTCCCTGCAGCAAAAGTAACAGGATGGGGTGCTGAATACAAACGGACAAGAACGGACCCCAGACGCTCCCGCACCCGACGACGCGGGCGACAGACAACCACAGGACAGCCAGAGGGTGACCTGCCCCTCAGGGAGACGCTGTGCCCAGCGGGCCTGCCGGGGCCCCTGGCCTTGGGGTCGCTGACAGACCCCCTAGAGCAGCCGCACGCTCCCAGCCCCACCCACCCTCAGTGCCCCAGGTGGGCGGCCGCCAGCATGTCCAAAGCTCAGCAGGGAGGTCCCGGGCTCTCCTCTCCCCTCCCACACACAGAACGGGTGCTCAGAGGGTCAGGACAACAACGAGGCCACAGAGGTGCCGACCAACACCTGGACAGACACACAGAGCTGTGGCCCAGGTGGCAGGCAGCTCAGACACTGGGGCGTCAGGCGAGGACACAGAGACCCAACACGCAGGGACGGGGCCGAGTGGGGGTGGAGGGCGGACCCCGGGGTGTCGCCCATGGAGCCCAGGCCTCGCTGCCCTCAGAGGACAGAAGGCCAGGCTGCTGAGCAGTGGAGGAGAAGGGCCATCGGGGTGAGAGGGGTGGGCCGTGGACCACAGGCTGGTGGTGAGCCTTCTCTTCGGGGCGAAGACTGTTCTCACCTGAGAAATTTCTTGTGGCCAGCATAGTGGTGAGGATGGCACCCTGGGGAGAGACATATAGCTGAGACCAGGAATCCCAGCCCCGACCTCAGGCTCTGGGTGCCTGGGCAGAATCAGGGTCACAGCCTTGTAGACACAAGACTACAAAAGTGCCAGCTGCATGGCCAGGCCTCCTTCTTGCAGAGCTGAGACAGCGGCTGCCCACTGACCACAGCCCTCCTGCCTGCAGTAGTGCTCCGGGGAGACCCACGAGGGGCTGGCCTTCCACAGGTCAGCCCCCTGCCACCTCCCCCCGACCCCCAGGCACCAGCTAGGGTGCTCTCCTCACCAAGCCCACTAGGGTCTGCGGCTGGCTGCTGGCTCACACGAAAGCAAGCAGCAGCGACCAGGTGCACAGCATGCCCTAGGGGGCACCTGACCCACGGGCAGGCTCTGTGCACCTCCAGTGTCGCTGTCATGTGGGGGCTGAGTCCACCTGGCACGTCTGGTCTAGGGTGGTGCTAAGGTCACTGGGACCCCTGTGCCTCCCCTTACCAAGCCAGCCAGGACCCCTCTGGCCTCTCTGAGCCTGGGGCGGTTGAGGGCAACACCCCCGGGGGGGGGGGGGGGGGGTCAGCAGGCAGGGGCCGGGGGGACTGGGCCGGGTCTCACCTTGAGCTTTCTTCGGGCATTGAACTTCTTCAGGCACTCCACAGTCTCCTGCCTGTGCATCATAGAGGCCACAGTGGAGCGTTGCTGTGGAAAGAGGGATGTTAGCTTTGCACCTGAGGCGACTCGAGATGGGGATCAGGGAGAGGGACAACAGGGCCGTGGCACCTACGGGGGCCAGCAGGAGGCCATCCATCCCAGCTGCTGCCTGGCCCCAGTGCATCACCCCTTACAGCCTGCCTGCCCCCACCTCATCCTCACCCTGCTGGCACCCCAGACGGCTGTGTCCCCGACCCACGGCCCCCTGGCTTGTCCCTTGTCAGTCTCCACGCCCTGTTCCCTTACATGAGGGACGGGGCCTCTCTACCCCCAGAGCCCCGTCCTCCCAGAGACTGAGGCCTGTGCCGTGCCCAGCAGACCAGGGGGCCCGTCAGAGGTAAGGAGCGGGGTCAACGCGTTGGGGACACTTACGCAGACCCATGGGTGCTTCAGCGCCTCGTGTGCGGTAATGCGCTTGGCGGGGTTGATGGTCAGCATCTGGTTGATGAGGTTTTTGGCTTCAGGAGTGACGGTGTCCCACTCGGGGGATGGAAACTAGAAAGAAAGCAACACGTGGGAGAGCCTGAAGCCCCCACCCCAGGCAAAAGCCCGAATTCTCCGAGGAATCTCATCCAGGTCATGACTCTGGGGAGCAGGTGATCCTGCCCATTCCCTGTCCCCCGCCCCGACAGGGCGGGGTCCTAGCACTCACATCATAGGCCCCCGCCTTGATCTGCTGGTACAGCTTGTGCTGGTCCTCGTCCCAGAAGGGCGGGTAGCCCACAAGCAGGATGTACAGGATCACCCCTGCGCAAAGCAGAGCGCCGGCCTCAGGCTGCCGCCTGGCCCGCAGCCCCTAACCCTGGAGCCCTCGCCCTCTCCCAACCACCGCCCAACCACCGCCCAGCCCCACCCAGCCCCCGCCCCCACGCAGCCCCGCCCTCAGCCCCTTCCCCTGCAGGCCCCAGCACCGCCCCCACCAGCACGCAGCCCCGCCCCCAGCCCCTACACCTAACACCAGACCACGCAGCCCCGCCCCCAGCCCCTACACCTAACACCGGACCACGCAGCCCCGCCCCCAGCCCCTATCCCCGCAGTCCCTTCCCCGCCCCCATGTAGCCCCGCCCCCAGATCCTACCTCCAGCCCCCCAGCACCCAGCCGCTACCCCTACAGGCCCCCGCCCTAGCCCCCAGCCCCCAACCACCACACAGCCCCGCCCCCAGACCCCCAACACCACGAAGCCCCGCCCCCAGCCCCATCACCAACCCCGCCCACCACCACGAAGCCCCGCCCCCAGCGCCTACTCCCAGGCCCAAACCACCAAGTCCTTGCCCCCACCCCCTATCCCTGCAGTCCCCAGCCCCTGCCTTCGCCCCCAAGCCCCTGCCCCCCCAGCGCCCACCACCACGCAGTCCCACCCCAGCCCCTACCCCCACCCCAAAGCCCCCGCCCCACCCTCGAAGTCCCTGACCCCAGCCCCTACCCTCAGTCTCCACCCCCGCAGACCTCCAACCTCAGGCCCCCACTCACTAGGTCCCCCACCCCCGCAGCTTCCCGGAACCCCTCAGCCCCCACTGGTGCCTCACCCCCAGCCCCCCACTAGGCAGCCCCACCCCCACCCCACACTCCCCAGACCCCACAACCCCTACCTGAGCCCCGCACCCAGCAGAGCCCATCCCTGTGCCCTTGGAACACAAGTGCAGTGACACGCCAGTCAGGGCACACTGCTCTCCCCACCAGGGGACAGGGGGTCAGAGGCCCAGCTCCTGCACTTAACAGCTGCAGTGTCCTTGGCCTTGGCTGCGATGGGGACCCTGCCCAGAGCCAGTGAGCCACATGAGGGCACTGGGGTCCTCAAGTGCCCCCCCACCCCTGAAGTGTCACCTCAGGTGCTCAGCTCTGCAGGGGATCCTCAGGCAGCCCTGCCAGAGTGGCCTGCACAGCCCCCTACCCCTCCAGCACCCTGCCATCCTTGCACTCAGTCCTCTCACTGGGGAGGTGGGCTTCTGTGAGTGGGGAGGGGCCCCCTGGCTGGGGGCAGCCCAGGGGCGGGTCTGGCACAGCCCAAGTGGCATAGGCCCATGACTTCCTCCCCGAGGCCCCACCCACCCACACGGAGGCCTCACCGCACGCCCAGATGTCCACCGGCTTGCCATATGCTTCCTTGCGCAGGACCTCTGGGGACAGGTAGCCTGGCGTGCCAGCGAACCCTGCAGACAAGGGGGAGAAGTGTGAGGGCTGAGGTGGCAGCTGACCCCCACCCCACCTCCACCCCCACCCCAGCCCACCAGGACACTCACCAAACCAAGCCTGCTGGTCCCCCTGCACCTCGATGGCCAGGCCGAAGTCCGCCAGCTTCACTGCAGCCCCTTTGCACTTGCTGGCCAGGAGCAGGTTCTCAGGCTGCAGGGAAGGCGACGAGCCAGTGGGCGTGTGGTTACACCCGGGGCATCACGGAGGGATCGGTTTGCAGGCTGCCCTGTGGGGGCCACCCCGGGCGTGGCTGACACCCTGTGACCTTCCCGGGGACAGAGGGGAGTGGGCTCACACCCAGGGAGGCGACCGTACTAAAGGCACCCTACAAGTCCTAGCAGGCAGCATCCCCACCCCATGCCCCCATCTGGGCGCTGAGACACGGTGGGGGGCTGCCTGAGGATGGTGACCCCAGAGGGCACGGAGGAGGACCACGGGCCCCATAGCCCGGGCACCTCGGGACATCAGCCCACCAAGTCCCTCTGGCTTGGCTGTCCCACTCCCCGCCTGCCTGGCCTCAAGGAGCAGCAGCCTTGCTCAAGCTGAAATGACATTCATCCCCATCCCACAAGAGCACCAAGGGGGCTGCCGTCCTTGACTGGGGACACGTGGCCCCAGGGCCCAACAGGGTCCCTGTACACTGAGTCCTGTACACAGGGCCCCTCCCGTCCTGGTCCGGCCACCTCCCGCGGTGGTAGCCTCTGGACTTCCCCATCAGTGACCAGGCCAGGGGCTCCTGGGGCCCTCAGCCCCCTCACCAGGCCACCCTCCCAAAAGGCAGGCCCACTGAGACCACACTGCCATTTCAGGGTAAACACCACCCACACAACTGTGTAAACTCTGCTTGTAACCCTGACGTGTTAGATCGTGATAAGAGGCCCTTGGAACCCATGAAGGATGCTGCCCTGTGGCAGGAACCAGGGACCCTCTGGGCTCCATCCCTACAGAAGACACATGACGGGGACATGTGGCCCTGCCCACCCAGCACAGCCTGGAGGCCCCTGAACACCTTCATTTTGCCCACGTGAGCCGGGTAGGAGACCCCCCCCCCACCTCCTCCTGCATCCACATGAAGCAGTCTGAAAGAGCAGGGGCACAGCTGTGGCCGGCCAGGGGGGTTGACCTGAATTCCACAGATCAGAGAGAACAAAACTGCACTCCTGAGAAGCAAGACTTAAGTGAGCTTGGTCTCAGGGAAGGGCTGGGGATCCTGGGAAAGGAGGGGATGCAGCAGAGCCCCACCCCCTGCAGCCCCTATGCGCTCTCCTCCCTCCCTTCTCCCTGCCTGGCTGAGAGCAAACCCACCATGGCAGGGCCTCTGGGGCTCTGTCCCAGTCAGGAGACCAGGAGGCAGGGCCCTCTCCAGAGGAGGGCACTCAGCCCTTCACACGTGGCGGGAGGTTGAAGGGTGCTGTTTGCCCCCGGGGTCACAGCTGGGCTGTGGGGAGCATTACCGTGGCCCCAAAGATAGCTATGAATCATGAACAAGGTGGGGATGCATGCCTCCAAGGGATGCTGCTTCCCACAAAATACGGTGACAGAGGGGAGGCTCATGACAAGGCAGGCCGGCAGCACAGGCACAGAGGGCCACAGGACCATGTGGGACATGCAGAGAGGGGGTCCTGAGCCTGCTCCTGGCAGGACCTCGTCCCCAGAGCAGTGCCGCAAAGATCAGCTCACACACACACACACACACACACACACACACACACACACGCTGGTAGCCCAAGGAAGGTGTGACCCCGTTCAGTGTGAGCACACATCCCATGGGAAGGCTGGACTCAAAGGCCACCTGGGGACTCTCTGCAGGAATGACAGGCCCACACCCACCCCCACCCCAGAGAAAAAGCCAACAGGAACACAGCTTGGACAGACTAGGAGGCAGGGGAGGGGGAGGGGGAGGAGGAGGGCTGCTGTTCCTCCTGAAGCCATGCTGTGCCCTGCAGGTGACAAACCAGTTTGTCTAGAGCTGAGCCTGGGGCAGCAGAGACTTGCAGCCTGGGCTGGACATTGGCAGAGAGCAGGGAGGCCGGCCCCTCACCCCCTGCTCCCTTGGCATCAGCCCTACCTGCATGCCCCACGCCAGGTCTGAGCCTCACCTGGAGCCCAGAAAAAAACACCCCAAGTAGACATAGGCTGATTTTTGACACCTGCCCTCTCTCAATCCTGGAGCCTGGAGGGGTCTGGAGGGACGTGTGCAGACACACGCATGCATGCACACATACACACACCTTTGTGCTCACACATGCATGCACACACACACACCTTCATGCACACACACCTCACACACATGCATACGCACACACGCCTTCACGCACACACACACCTTCATGCACACACATGCATGACACACACACTTCACACATACCTTCATGCACACACACGTATGCACGCACACACACGTCTGCATGCACCACATGCATGACACACCTTCAGGCACACACCTCACACTCGTGCACACACACACCTTCATGCACACACACCATCACACGGACACGCATGCACACACGTGTGCAAACACACGTACATGTGAGCACACGTTTCTCCTGCCTTTGTGCACACATACTCACATACCCACACAAGTACACACATGCACACCTGCACACGTTCTCACACACATCTGCTTATGCACACACATACGTGCACATGTCCCCACACACACAGCATTTCCTGGCATGCTCACTGCTCCTCCGGGGTCTCCTTTTGCAAGACATGCAGGTACAGACAACAGACACGTGGCACAGAGCAGGGTGGGGGACTCACCTTGAGGTCCCTGTGGACGACCCCCATTTGGTGGCAATGGAGAACCGCCTCCAGGATCTGCTGGATGCAGTGACTGTGGCAAACAGCAGGGTAATTAGTGAGAGTGGCCTGAGGGGTGGGCAGGTGTGCATGGCACTGGGGTGGGGTCCCCTGCCTGGCCGGCTCACAGGGAAGCAGGGAATCGAGATGTTGCCTGCCATATAAGAGAGGAGACGCCAGCCAGAAGGGGGCCTCTGGGGCTCCTGCCTCACCCCCACAGGTCGGCACAAGGCATGGCCAGGCCCCCTTCACCCCTCGCCCTGCCTTCTCCTCTGACCAGGCTCACGGAAGGGACACTCAGAGGAAACATCCCTGTTCTGGGGGCACCTCCCCAGGTGCATGCCAACCGAGCCTGACCCTGAGCCAGTGGCCCCTGAGAGGGAGGCCAGGGCTGAGCCCACACCCTGTGGGGCAGGCTTGCAGGGGGAGAGGAGGAGAGGGCCTCGCTCTGTCCCGGTGGTGCCAACACTGCGGCCAGTCGTTCAGGTGTTGGAGCAGGTGCTGTTCCAACAGCCCTGAACATCCACACGGCTGCTGGTGGCTCAACTCCGTAGCAGCCTGGGGGAGACAGAAGCTCTCCTGGCACAGAGGCAGCCCCAGCTCTGCCCGGAGCCCCGAGCCAGGGAGCAGTCTGGGAGGACTGGCTGGAGGGAGAGGTCAGGGCTGTTCTCAGGCACCTTGGACACCTGTGCGTCAGCAACACCGCTGCACACCAGCCCCAGGGGACCCCGCCCCCCCTGCCTCTGTGCACACAGCACCTTGAGACCTGGGCCTGCCTGCTGCCCCCAGATAGCCCCAGGTGTCCGAACAGTTTCCAGCTGCCCCCAGAGCCAGGCACAGGCCACCGGGAGCCTACGCCCAGGGTCTCAGTCACAGCCCCTCTGGGTGGGGGTGAGTGAGGGATGCAGATTGCCTCAGAACGCCTCCTGCCACGGCTGGACCCTGACTGAGGGTCAGCTGGAAGGGTCAGCTCTGTTTTCCTGACAGCAAACTCAGAGACGGGGCAAGGGACCAGATCTGCTCCTCAAATAGCTCTGGCCACCTCTGGAAACCATCCGCCAGCTGCATAAAAAAGGAAACTTGGGTGTCCTCCTTGCAGAAGCCAGGCCCTTGGACCCCCGATGGTGACAGGTTCCTGAGCTTTGTGGGGGTCAGAAGAAGCCGGGGCCAAAGCTGTGGGCCACAGCCCCCCTCCCATGTCCTGACTCTCCTGCCTTTGTGTCCTGGGGCCTCTTGTCCCTATGTTCTGATACTCCTGTCCCCGTGGCCTGGCCTAACTCACTCCCAGAAACTGCCTCCTTGTTCTTGTGACTCACAAAGCCCTCATCTGCCTGGAGCAGTCCCCTGTGACCCTCATCCCTGTCCTGGTGGCACCAGGCCCACATCCAGCCACCACCAGACCGTTACTGCAGCCATGGGCTCAGCCCCCATGGGCTGACCTCCCACTGCAAGCTCATCCGGGAGACCTAATCTGCTGACCAGAGCTTGGCCATGAGGTCTGGGAAGCTCTCCTGGGCCCCTCTTCTGAGGTTAAGGCACACCACCAGCACTTGCCACTGAGACCACCTAGCCAGGGCCCAGGCAGGGGAGGACTCTGCCAGCCTCCAGAGACCTGCCACCTGGAACGTGTGTGCACGGCGCTCAGCCGCAGGCCCCCAGACTCCCGCACGCTGCAGCACCCACTCGGGGCGAGGGAGGCCCCTGCTAGACTAGCCCCATCCTGTGCTGCTGCAGCTCGGCCTTGGCTGTGCGTCTGTGTGCCCAGCTGTGTGCCCTGCCCTCCCCCAGTGCCCCAGCTGAACTTACAGCCCACAGCAGGTGTTTCCTGGGCCCCTGGCTGCTCCTGCAAGCCCTGGGTGACCTGGCTTCAAGCTCAGACCTCTGGGATCACTGCTTGTCTCGCTTGGGGTCTGGCCCATCTTCCACTTTCACCCTCGAGACCCTTCCTGGATCTGACCCTGGACAACACCCTGTGGACTCCCCCGTGCTGGTCACCCCCCGCAGCCACACGGCAGCTGCGTCCTCTGTGTGAGTGTCTCTGCACTAAACTGTGGCCTCTGTGACAGTAGAGGCGTGGCCCTTTCCTCTGCACTGTGTCCCTCGCCCCATCCAGCAGAAGACATTCCGAAAACATCTGTTGGAACCACGGGTCCATCTGCCATAGGACAGATGGATGATGTTGGCTCGGAGGGGGTAGGCTCACCCCCTGCCCTCCTCCTCATCCCCTCTTGGGGATGCAGGGCCCAAACCGTCGCCAGAGATGTGAGACCACAGCGCCTGAGCTGGCACAGTGTTTGTGTCACCCCAGGACCATCACGGGTCTGACTTGGCCATGTGGCTGAAATCAAGTCCTACAACTCAGGACAGACCCTGCTCCAGGGGCTTCACGGCCACCCTGATGGAGAAATGGAAGCACAGGGGTCCCGGGTGCTCAGGAACCAGCTGGCTAAGCACACCGCATCCCCGAAAGAAAGCTGTGTGGGGCCTCCCTGCCCGTGCGGCCGTGCCAGCCAGTGTCCAGGACCAACGTGGGAGCTGCCTCCACGGCCTACAGACGCCCGTTCTGGGCAACCCTGCCCTCTCAGGGTTTCCGGGGACCGCACACTGGCCACCTCACCACTCCCAGCTGAGACCATGGCTGTGGCGGACATGAGGTCACCTGGCCAGTCACGAGGTCCTGTCTGCCTCCTGCCTCGGCTCACATTGTACCATCTTCCTCAGAGGGCTTTTCTGTGGTCAGAGCTGTTCTCAAGTGCATTCCAGATGCTGGCGGAGTCCTGGCCGCTATATTCTCAGGGTCCGGGCTCTGAGGTCACCCCAGCTGTGCCCTTGCCACACCCCTCCCCCTCGGGAGCCAGAGTCCCAGGGGCTCTCATACATCTCCCAAGAGCCACACAGCTTTTTAGGCTTTTAAAAGCAGGGTTCTAAATGTTCTGAACTTTGCTCTCCCTGCTCTGAAGAGACCCTTCAGTCCCCCACAAACCACCAAGTCAAGATCTGACTTCCTCCCCGAGACCAGTCTCTGGCCTTCTGGATTAGCAACTCCTCCCGGGCTCCCGCCTCCTGCAGAGACTGGACACATTACAAGCCCCCGGGGACGCTGGGCTGTGAGCAGCTCGGCCCTGGAGGCCCCCGGAAGGGCTGCCAGTTAACTTGCTCGGGGCCGGAGCTCCGTGCCCACCCCATGCGGCTGGCGTCTTGGGTCCCCGGCCCCTTTCGGTGGCGGGTCCCCCGAGAAAGGCAGTCGACACCGCCGCCCTCCCAGGACGGGAGCTTGCCTCAATCACGTCTGCCACAGTTCCTGACGATGCCCACGGGTGGCCACCACGTGGACGTCCACGCCAGACTCTGCCAGGCCCTCCTGCCCGAAAACAAAGCAGCAGCACAAAGGTCAGGCGCGGGACACCCCAGGTCAGTGCAGGGCCGGTGCTCCCAGGAGAAGAGGCAGCTGGAGGCGTGTGGATTTTATCAGTGGGCCCAGCCGGAGGCACTCCCCAAGTGTCCCCTGCCCCCCTCGTCCCCTCCTCATAGTTGGGCTATGAGCAAGGCAGGCTTTGTGAGAGACACCTGGGCACCTGTGGGTGGGGTCTCTTCTGGGCCGGTTCCAAGGGGCCCCTGACACAGCGGAGCCCTCCACAACAGCATCCCCAAGAACACCTGCCCTCCGATGGGGCAGGAGAGGTCCACAGGAGTTGAGGGGTGGGGCTGATGGCTGGAGGAGGTGTTGGAGACAAGGCCAAGAGGCAGGCAGCAGGGGCAGGTAGGTAAGGGAGGAGGTCTGAGGCCGCAGGTGTTGGGGGGCCTGGGGTATGGGGTATGGGGAGTGCAACCTGGGGTATGGAGTGTGGGGCTTGAGGTGTGGGGTATATACTGGGATGTGGGGTGTGGGGCATGGGGTCAGGGCCTGGGGTATATGCTGGGATGTGGGGGGTGGGGGTCCTGGGGTGTATGCATAAAGTGTGGGGCGTGGGATGTGTGCACAGGGCATGTGCATGTGCATGGGGTGGAGACATGGGTGGGCACAGGGCACAGGAGGAGGGCACAGTGGGCAGGCTAGAGGGATCCAGGGGCCCCCAGCCAAGATATGGCTGCAGGCCATATCACCCCTCGGCCACGACTGTCCACTGCGGAATGCAGGGACGGGGCCAGGCCCCAGGCAGTAGTGGGTGCTGAGGCCAGTGAAGGCATACGACCTCCCTGGGAAAGCCAGGCGGCACTGGAGGCAGAACTGGAAGGCAGTCCTCCTTGACCTTGCGCTGCCCCGGGGGGTGGGGGGGGTGAGTCCTGGTCTGGGGACAGCCTGCTGGGACCCTTCTGTCCTGGCCCCAGAGCCCCTCCCGCCCTGGCAGATGCCAGGACAACTGGGCCAGCAGGCAGGCACCCACACTTGGGAATTTCGCGCCCGAGCTGCTCTGAGGACAGGAGCACGGCTCCACTTCCTGCTTTTCTCAAAAGAGGGAAACGAGGGCTCCGTCTTCCTGCTCCTGAAGGGGATGGGCAACTCCCAGGCCCCTGGGCTCCTCAAGGAGCCTCCAGAAAGGGGCCTGTGCCCCGCCCTCTGCCCCTGGGCAGTCTGGCCAGAGGGGAAGCCCAGCCCGACCCTGGCTGTGACTGTGCCAGACCCCCTGCCTGCAGCCCCTGGGGTTTTGGGGGGACCCGCTCGCACCTTCTCACCAAGCCCAGGCCGTCACCAACGGGCAACGTCGCCCATGGGTGCACAAGCAAGTCACAAAAAGCTACTTTTAAAAATAACATTCATTTTCTTGAATAGAAAAGTAATACATGTTCATTAAGGAAATTTTTAGGAACAGACAACACAAAAAATTAAAAATAAAAATCATCCATAGTTAAGTCCACGGCCTGGAGATGGGCACTGTCCCCCTTTATTTCTGTCAAGTGAGTGTCTCCTGACCCTGGCAAGCAGGGTGGGCGAGTGGCAGGGGAGCGGCCTCAGCACTCTTCAAGCTGGGATGCACAGTCAGGGTTCAGGGGGCATGCGGCCACCAGCATGGGCCACAGCAGGTCACGGGGGGGGGGGGGGGGGGGGGCGCAGCCTTGCAGGGAGGAGGGCCCTGCGGTCCCCAGCCGCGTGCCCAGATCATGGGGCCCCTCACCTGCTGTGCGGGCTGACCCCAGCAGGAAGGGCTGCCAGGGGCTACACGGAGGCTTCACGGGGAAGGAGCCAAAAAGTCCTTCCGTCCCTCCACACGGGGCCCTGGCTTGCTGCCTACGGGGCCCTGGCTTGCTGCCTACAGCCCCTCGAAGGAGAGCCTGCAGATGTGTCCCGGAGGCTCGATCCTCCCCTGCTTCCCTTCCTGTCTGCGCCCCGGGGAGGACGGCACAGAAAGGGCTTCCTGCCTTGTCTTTGGAGAAGCGTTTGGAAACTGCCCAGCTCCTGGAGGAAGGCCTGCTGGGTGCCAGCCGTGGGCCACGGGCAGGGAGGGCATCCCGGGGAGGCCAGGAGGGGCCACCATCACACGCTGCCGTCCGCTCTCTCCCTTCCAGCCACCCAGGGAAAGCACCCACTCTGTGGGCCCGCTCCTACCCCAGGAGATCTGGACTCCAGCCACGCCTCCGCTCTGCGGGAGGACACGCCGACTGCCGCCTGCTCTTGGAACCTGCTCAGCCCGCCTGGTGAGGCAGGGCTGGCAAGAGAAGAGGGTAGGGGGAGTGAGGGCTGCACACTCACCTGGCATCCGCCTCGCTGTAGTACTCTCTGGCCACGATGTCCTCGAAGAGCTCCCCACCTGTCACCCTGCAGGCAGAGCACACACAGGTCAGTCTGGAGACCCACTCACCCTCATCACTTCCATCGCTGTCACAGCCGCTGATGTCAACTCCTCTGGCTTGTCCTCCTCCTCCCCCTCCGCCTCCACCTTGTCCTCTTCCTCCTCCTTCCCCCTCCTCCTCCGTCACCTCATCCTCCTTCTCTTCCTCCCCCCTCCTCCTCCCCCTGCCCACTCATCCTCTTCCTCCTCCTCCCCCTCCTCCTCCTCTTCCATCTCCTCACTATCCCCCTCTTCCCCCTCCCCCCCTCCCCTCCATCCTCCTCCTCCTCCTGCCCGTCCCCCACCTCCTCCTTCTCGTCCTTCTCCTCCTCCTCCCTCCTAGGAGGATTCCACTATCACCACTTCCACCTTCACCCTATTGTCACCTAGGACTGACAGCTTACCGAGTCCTCATACGTGGCAGGATTTGACATTCGCAGCCCTGCTCCAGGACACAGCACAATCATGCTCAGAAAACCGAATCTCAGATATCTAAGTGGTGCTCGCATAGCGGGCAGCACAGGAGTTTGAGCCAGGCCTCTGCAATATTCCCTGGGCTTTGTGACTCTAATTCCAGGCCTGAAGAGATCTGGCTCGTTCCTCACGTCCCCCAGAACCAGAGATGTGTCTCTTCACAGAGCAAGGGGCCAGAAGAGACTGTGTGTGGACCTGGCCTCCCTGGTGGGTGAGACCACAAGGTGTTCAAAGTCTGTCTAGGAAGAGAGTGGGATTTCTGCCCACACAGCCACTGTCTGCGTGTCCCTGCTCAGCAACTGTCCCTCAGGCCCTACCATCGGATGAATACCCAGACAGCAGCCACTGCCTGCAGGGCCTCTGGGAACCCAGAAAAATGCCAGACAACCTGGGGTCTCTTGGGCTGGAAAACATGGTGTGGGCAGAAAGGTAACGACAATGGGGTGAGGGACACACACACAGGGAGCAGGGAGGAGCCATCCCTGGGTTCGCCTGAGCCCCTCACCCGGCTCAGCAGGCTCTGAGTCCATCAAAGGACTCTGCCCAGGCTTCCCACCCTCTGCAGCCACACCGGCCCTGGGGGCTGTGGGCTCTCCATCCGCATTTCTGCTCTCATCGGGGCTCGTCATTGTGCCCAGTGCTCAGGGCTGTGGCCTGTGGCAGGGGCACTGCTGGAGGGGTGACCCTGTCATGGCTGGGCTCTCCTTTAACAGTGGAGAAAAATGAAAACAGGACATGCTGGGTGTTAGCATGCCCCCACTCCAGCTAGACGCCTGCCTCGAGAGCCCACTGGCCACTCCAACGACTCCGGGAGTGGGAGCATTTAGGGCCCCACTCTGCCACCAGGAGAGCCTGAGACTCAGAACCGGTGACCACCTAAGGGAGGCAGAACCCCGAGAACCCAGGAGAAGCGACCTTGTTATCTCTCCACACACACGGCTCACAGGTCAGGCTCTGCAGACCCAGAGTCTAAACACAGAGCAAAGGCAAGAAAGCCACCAGGTACCGGCCAGGACCCAGCAGGAACACAGGGAGCCACCCTAGGGAGCCTCACCCAGGGCTGGGGACAGGCCCTCTGAGTCCCTGTGTCCACTGGAGCCTATCTGTGCTGATGGGCACCTGGGGCCACGTGTTCCAGGGCCACAGGGCAGGGAGCTGGTGGCTGGGTGGGGGGGTGGGGGTGGGGGTGGCGTCTCACGCTGTCCAGAAAGGACCTGATCCAGAGGCCGGCATCCCCTCCTGTCCTCCCTTTCTGCAGCTGGACAATGTGGCTGATTCTGAGCTGTCCCCAAGGCCTTGGTGACATTCCCAGGGTGGGAGTGGGGAGACCTGTCAACTCCTGAATCCGTACAGCCTCCAAACTTGGGGCCTCCTGAAGGTGATGCCAACCCAGGCTCAAAGTGCTTCCCCAATTCTGGCACCATGGACCTGTCGAGGGTCTGCGGTGTGATGGGGGGGTTGTGGGTGCTGGCAGGGCCTGCCCCTATTCTTCCCTGCTCCCGCCCCGCCGGCCCCAGAAACAGCTGCCTGAGGCCCAGGGGCATCCTGGGTGCCCCAGAGCAGGGGCTTCAGCAGGGTCAGGAACCACTGCAGGCTTGCAGACCACAGAGGTCTGTGGGGCAGGCATGCGGGGCCCAGGCCCTTCCCCTACCCCACCCCCCTACAAACACCAGCCAGGTGCTTCTTGCTGGCCTCCCGTCATGTGGGCCAAGAGATAAGAACCTCTAACATGTGCATGTGCATGCACACACATGCAGTTACATACACACGCACATGCACACACATGGATGCCGTGCCCTATTCTCTCTCTCCTTATCTGCTCCTGAATCACACCCACCCACCCGTCTGCCACCAGGGCCTGGGCAAGGCCACCCCCCAGCCCCATGGCCTCTACATTCCCTGCAAAAGAGGCAGGTGAAGCCGGCTGGGTTTGGGGCACACCGGGGTGACAGCAAGCCTGCCCCCTCTGCAGGGGTCACAGGACAGACTTCTGGGACACAGCCTCAGCCTGGCAGTGGCAGCTGTGTCCCCAGCCAGTGCTGGCCACCGGGGGGGTACTGAGAGGTAACCAAGCCCCTGCAGGGACAGGAGGACCCAGAGGAGGCTGAGAGCTCTCAGGCCCATCTGTCCTTTGAGGGAGGAGCAGCTCTCTGCATGGAGGCACCCTGGCCATGCGACGGTCCAGAGGCCACTAGGGGCCGCCCACAGCCTATGGCCCCTGCCCACCCAGGGCCCTGGTCCCCAGACACAATGACTCACAGACGCTAAATATAGCTGCGCGGTGGGAGCTGTCAGGGATGAGGATGAGCTCACCGCTCCTAAATGCAGCAGGAAGCGAGAGGCAGCCAGAGCCCCAGAAGCCTCCCCTCTCGGCCACTGGGCACGCACACACGTGCACACATGGGCTCACGGCTGCTGCATGCCCCCAGGAGGACCCAGCAGGCAGACGCCCCCTTGCGGACCCGATGGTGCAAACAGGAGGCAGGGATGCTGGCGGGAAGGGAGGGGCCCGGGGGTCGGGGCCTGTCCTCCAGGGGCTGGGGAGGCCTCGGATCCCACCCCAGGAGCAGCCGTGGGGTGCCCCCCCCCCGCCCCCAGCTGGCACTTACAGATCAAAGACCAGGTAGTGGAACCCCTCTTCAGAGATGCTGTCGTGGAGACGCACTGTTGGGGCAGAAGAGGCCATGAGGGGCTCACCCAGCCTGGGACCCGCCCTTGCCACTGAGCCCCCCTCCACACCTGCCCAGACCCACCTCCCGCATGGAGGAAGCCCACCCGTCCTGACAAGGGCCTGGATTCCCCACAGCCTGAGGCTGGGGTGCCCCCAGGTGGGCAGGCTACAGGGCAGAGCCCAAGGGCATCCACGGGGCCACTAGGTGTCTGCTGCCCCCTTTCCCCTGCCAGAGGGAGACTGAGGCCCCTCTCAGCAACCCCCCACTCCTGCCTAGGGTGCACACAGTGGCAGAAGGGGTGGGGCCACAGGGTGGAGGCTCCCTGGACCGGGCCCTGGAAAGGAGCCATTCACAGGGGAGGTGCACAGTGGGGCCCCATCGCCAGCCTCTCGGGACAAGCTCAGGGAGCCCCGCCAGGCATCACTGGCCAAAGCTCAGGCCCCGGATTCAGGCCTACCCCTCCTGCCTGGTCTGCCCCGTGTGCTCCCGGCCCGAGTGCTCCCGAGCCCGGGGTGTGCTGGCCAGAGGGCCCACTAGCGTTTGACGGGCGAGCCAGAGAGTGGACAGCAAGTTAGTGCTTCTCAGCCCAGGCGTCAACCACTCTGTCCTCTCTGTCCAGCTGGAGATGCACAAGCACTGAACGGCACACATTTCTAGGAATGGCTCATTGTGGACACGGCCCCTCACATGCCAGCTTCTGCCTCTGTGCTCCGGGAGCCTGCCTTGTGCAGACGCCACTCTCTGTGGGTGCGCCAGCCTGGGAGATGCTGCACAGAGAGGTTCAACTACCAGCTGGGAGACACACAGCTCCCGAGAGGTACACACAGCTCCCAGCAGTACAGGGACTGGGGCGTGGAACCCTGGGAGCTGCTCTCCTCTCCTGGCAGGGCAGGCCAGTGGTGCTCAAAGAGTGGGGCACAGCACCTTCCCCCAGGTCGCAGCCCCTCCCTCACGCCCCTGCTGCTGCCCTAGTTCCTGACAGCCTGCAGGCCTCCTCTCTCCTTGGTTCCAATCCTCCCAGGGCCTGGCTAGGCCGTGTCTCTGTGCCAGGAAGCCCGAGCCGGCCGTGGCGGTGCTGACAAGGGGCCAAAGCCCAGCACCAAGAGTGGACTCCGGCCCAAGCAGTCGGGGTGTCCAGGCCCTGGGGAGGGGGCCACACGCTGGCTCGGGGTGGGGGAGGCGGCTGCCTTCCATTTCAGGCTCTGTGTCTCCGCTCGAGGTCCAGCATCCAGCCTTCTCCCCTCCGTCCTCACCATACTCATGAAGCCAGGTCCTCCAGGGCCCATGGCCTCCGCCTGCTGCCTGGGCTCAGTCACGCTTCCCAGGGACTAGGGGAGGCCTCGGGCCTCCACTACGGGGAGGCCCCTGCTGACCTCCCTCCCGCCCACACAGCAGCCCAGGACCCACTCCACCAGCCTGCCCTGCTTCTCCGCAACACACAGCAGAGCCCTGCTCACTGCACCCTCCTCCCCAGACCCTCCTGTGAAAAAGGCGGGGTGAACAAGAGCTCACCTATTCCTGGCGTGGACTCAGCAAGGGGCCTCCTGAGCAGCCGCCTCTGCCCCCCACCACCCCCACTAAGCTCCAAGTGGAGAGAGAGGCCTGGGGGCCCCTGAAGGCAGCGCCCACTGAGGGACATTCCTGGGGTCCTTCTTGTCCTTCCCTGGGGGGGGGGCAGGGGTCCATAAAGCTAGGTGCTGCCCCCCCAGTGCCGCTGAGAGGGGGGTCCCACCTCCTTGCCCGGGAGACACTGGAGGGGCTCCGTGTGGAGTGCAGACTGTGTGCACATGGACACTCTTTTTTTAAAAACATTTTTAATGTGCAAAAATATTTTAATGGTTTAGAAAAATCAGACTGATTTGTGACAGAACTAAGTAAAGAGAGAACCGTCACTGAATCCTCTTAAAAACAGCAGGTAAACAACACTGAGCAGGGTGCACGGCGACAAGAAAGTCGACGGCATCTAGAAACTGTGCTTGGACATGGAGGGCCGGGGGGATGCACCCAGGACGCTCCCCTCGCTGGGGCCCGGCACCTCCAGACCAGGGGACTGTCAGGGGGTCCCGCCACCCTCCCAGGCAGGCTCTGGACCCCCTCCCTAGACCCCTGTGCTGTCTGAGGTGGGAAGGCCCAGCCCAGATGTGTAACATCATGAGCTGCGGGCCCCAGGATTCGGACCCTGGAAACCTATCTCCTCCCCCCTGTCCAGGCAGGGAGCCCCCACAGCGCACTGTCCTCCATGGCCCCCACCTGCCCAGATCAGGGGTGAACCACCCAGCAAAGGAACTCAGTTCTAACCCCAGAAACCAGGCCCGAGGAGAGAGGGTCAATGTGCAGAGGGGAGGCTCTCTCCCTTCAGCCTTCCCCCAGCCTCCCCAAAGCCCCCAGCTCCACAAAGAAGGGCCTCAACACTGCACCTGCTCTCCACCTGATTCATCCCAGGGCCTGCTGGGCACTCCCCACTTTACAGATGGGGAAACTGAGGCTCCTTCCCTCTCCTTCCCTCCCCTGTCCTCCCCACACCCGGGACACGACTGCTCCCTGAGTAAGCGGGCACAGGAAGGGGAGCCCCTCTCAGAGCCCCTGCCCTGCACCTGGCTTCCTCTCCCAGGCGCCAGGGGCACTTCTGTCTAGGGTGGGGCTGGGCAGACCCAGGCCAGGGAGCAAGGTGCTCCCCTCACCTCCCCCTGGAAGTCTGTCCCACTACCCCTCAGAGGGCCTCTCCCCAGTCTCAGCCATGCATCTACCTATTCTGGAATGTTCCATCTGCACCCCAGTGTCAGCCCTCCATCAGCCTGTTCTGGAATGTTCCAGATGAACCTTTCTCAGCCTTAACTCCCTGTGTTCTGGAATGTTCCCACAGCAGCCAGTCTCACCCTGTGTCTGTTCTGGAATGTTCCCTCTGCACGCATCTCAGCCCGGCCTCCCCAGTTTCTGGAATGTTCTAGCTTCACCTGTCCTGTCTCAGCCCGGCCTCCCCCATGTTCTGGAATGTTCCCTCTGCACCATGGGCTCAGCTCTGACTCCTCCATGTTCTGGAATGTTCCCTCTGCACAGTTCTGCCCTGTGTTCTGGAATAAAGCTGCTACAAGGACTTCCGGGACTGATCAGGAACAACATGGGGCATCTAGGCAGGGCAGGGCGACATCTTGTGAAGTGTCTCAGAACACCAACCGGAAGAACACCTGGGTCCTCCCTTCTTAAGAGGGGATTCGTGAAAATTGCTCAGAGTGGCGACCTGCCCTCAGCTGGTGCTCAGAGGATGCAGGGGAGGCGCTGGCAAGGAAGGGGTGTGGGTAGAGTTGGCAGGGTGGTGCTATCTACCTGGAGAACGAGGACAGAGGGAGAGAAGTGCCTGGCATCTGGCCCAGGTACACAGAGGACAACAGCTGGGGTGGTGGGAGATCGGGCTGAAGCCCACCACTCGCCCAAACATCCCCTGCCCTCTGTCAGTGAGGACTGGGCTGGGGTCCCTGTGGACGCCTGCATCACAATCACTTGACAGGCTGGTGAAAGTCCCCATTCCTGGGCCGCCCCAGGCCCGAGTCAGGCTTCCTGGTGGTGGGGCGGGACCCTGCATGCCAGTGGGTCCAACACACTCACCTTGAGAATCTGGAAGTAAAAGCACATGGGCCCAGGCCCAGGGCTGCAGGAGCCCACGGGCACAGGGGCACAGGGGCTGCCCGGGAAGTGGGGGGATTTGCCTCCCCACCCCTCCCACTGGTCCGGGCCGGCTGGAGAGACCCAACACCCTGCAGAGCCACAAACAGTGGTGGAGGGCCCCCAGGACCAGCCCTAAGGCCTGGCGAGGCTTCCTGGGGCCTCTTGGGCCTCCACAAGGCTGAGGGCCTGGTCTGGGGATGGTTCCCAAACTGGCTGCCCCTCACTACCTGCTGTTCTTACAGAGTCCTGGGCCCCGTCCTGGAACAACTGAACCAGAATCATGGCAGGAGGGGCCCAGGACTCCACCCTGACAAGCTCCCAGGTGTCCCTGAGATGGCACACCCAGAGTCCCCTCCGTGCCTCCTGGCTGTATCCCAGAGGGAGCTCCAACTCCCTAAAGGGCCAGATTCGGGAAAGGACAGGCAGGTGCACACACATCCCTGCTCCACAGAGCAGCAAGCAGAGGCCACACTCGAGCCACGCTGGCGAGGGAGTGGTGGTTGAGTGGCCGGCTGACTCCAGGGTCTGCGGCCCCTACAGCCATACCACTCACGGGGGACGTGATCTGGGCTTGCAGGGCAAAGGGCATCCGTTCCCCCAGGCTCCCGGGGCTCTGCGCCCCTGCCGGGATCAACGCCCCAGGTCACAGCACCAGAGACCGGCAGGGGTCGGCAGCGGTTCTCCAGAACCAGACCTTGGACCTCGGGCCAGGACTGCGCCTGCTATGGTCTCAGAGATGTTTGGCTTCCCAATGTTTTTCTTTTTAATCAGGCTGCCTTGTGGCTCTCCTGAAGCCACAGAATGTTCTCACCAGAATCACACACAACTCAGGGTTACAGAGCGAGGGGAGGGGACCTGTCCACACAGAGCTCCTGCAAGGGGCTGCCCCGAACCCCCAGAATCTGACGTTTCCAGGTGCCTCAGGGTAGGACACGTCTATAGAGAAGGAAAAGGGGACCTTCTGGTGACTCTGCAAGTCCAATCGTTGGGGGAGGAAGGCTGCTGGCTGGAGGAGCAGAGAGGGGGGTCCCGGCCCCTCAGGGGGCTGCTCACCAATGTTGGAATGTTTCAGAAGGCGGCAGATTCGAGCCTCTCTCTCCAGCTTCTGGTGATCTGGGGACAGAAAGCAACACGGTATAACCTTGTGCCCCAGCAGCCTATGCCCGGCACTGCAGAGACGGCCGGGTGCCGGACACACTCTCGGCGGCGAGGACATGCCACCGCCTTCTGCCCGCAGAGCTGACATGTCAGGTTGTGCCCCTGTCCCCACAGGGGTCCTGTGGCAGCGCTGGGGCAGGAAGAGGCTGCCAGGTGTTTCCAGCTCGAGGCTGTGGGCGGAGGCGGGAGCCCCAGGTGGTTCAGGAAGAGAAGCATGGAACTGAGGGCACCAATTTCATCCTTCACTTGTTTGTCCTAATTCCAAACTCTGCAGAGCCTCCACTAAAGTCCAGTGTGCTCTTCAGCGGCGGCCATGGGGCTGGCGGGGCGACGCTGTTCACCGTTGGGGTCAGCGTGGGCCTCGGCAGGATTTCGGGGACCATCTGGGGCTGCACAGATCCCCAGAACACAGGCCCGGGACTGTGATGGCCAAGGTGTGTTGACGCTGCCATGGCAGCTGAGTCCAGGCCCAGGGGGAGCTCGCCATGGGCAAGAAGCAGCCAGAACGAGCCCCTGGGAGCCCTCCCTGCCCACCCCCCCAACTCACAGCCAGGGCTTCAATTCCAGAGGCTGCCCCTCTAAGGACTAGGCAGTTCATCAGAAATGTTCTATTTCAGGGCGCCTGGGATTCAGTCCATTGAGCATCTGACTCTTGGTTTCGGCTCAGGTCACAATCCCAGGGTGGTGTGATCAAACTATGAGTCAGGCTCCACACTGAACGTGGAGCTTGCTTAAGATTCTCTCTCTCTCTCTCTGCCCCTCTCCCTCAATTGTGCGTGCTCTCTCTCTAAAATAAAAATAAAGTTAAAAATATAAAAGGGCGCCCGGGCGGCTCAGTCGGTTAAGCATCTGACTTCGGCTCAGGTCAGGATCTCGCGGTTCATGGGTTCGAGCCCCACATCGTGCTCTGTGCTGACAGCTTGGAGCCTGGGGCCTGCTTCGGATTCTGCGTCTCCCCCTCTCTCTGCCCCTCCCCTGCCTGCGCCCTGTCTCTCTCTCAAAAATAAACATTAAAAAAATAAAAATAAAATAAAATAGAAAAAAATGTTCTATTTCAGACAAACAGACGTTACCAGAAAAAATTTTAAAGTTAATGGAGATTTCAATAGCAAAATACTGGAAAAACCCATGTTTCCATTGTCTAGAGAATGCAGCATCAATGTCGCTACAGTCATACAACACACATCAACGTGTGCACACCACCCCAACACCAGGCTGAGTGAAAAAGCCACTTATAAAAGAAGACCCACAATGCACTTTTATTCACCGAGGTCAACACGCACAGGTCACTGGGCACACATGTGTGGCCTAACCGTCAAGAAAGGCAAGGGATTTCCAAGTTCAGGATGGCAGCTGTCTCAGTGTGGGACGTGACTGGGGAGGGGGGTCCGGGGGGACCTGGGGTCCTGACCCGCCACTCCAGCCCTGTACATGCTGAGCCCCTCAGAGCAAGAGTCTGGGGAGCACACGACCATGCCAGACAACTGCCTGATTCACCAGGACTCCAGGCAGCACCCGCCTGCAGGGCGCAGTTAACGGGCTAAGTACACAGGGTCCTTGGAGGCAGGAAGGCCGCTGTGCAGGCCTCCTCAGACCTGCCAGGCCCTGGGCCATGCGACAGTGGGGAGCCGGGAGGGGCAGGACAGTCCTGAATGCGGACACACCTGCAAACACGAAAGTGTCTTTCCTGAGAGGGATGGTCATGCCCGCAGACAGACACCTCTGTCAACAACTCAGGTCCAGCCGGCCCTCCCCTCTCCCAGCACTCAAAGCCTCCAGAGATGCTAACACCGTCCTGCCCTGCCCTGCCCACCCGGCACCCACCTGCCCGGCCGGGCGCTCAGCCCTGGGACGACGCTGGCGGAACCACAGGGACAGACCCTGCCCTCACTCCCTCCCTCCCTCATGTCCACACCCAGCGAGCCCTGGCGGGAGCTGAGCACCTACCCACAGACAGCGGGCACTGGAAGCAGTCCAGGCATCACCACTGGGGGGATGAATCAAACATGCTTGTAACAGAACACACGCAGCATGGATTCCACTCCCCAGTCTGTGTGCGGCTCAAAATGAGGCAGCGATAACAGAACTGGGGCTGGGGCTCCCTGGACCTGAGGCCCACCTCTGGAGGGCAGTGGGGAAGGGGCTGTGGCCACAGCCAGGAGCTTGCTCCCCCTCAGGCCAGTGGGAGGGCTGACGGGGGCTGGGGGGGCATCATAGCTTTGTGTTGTCTTTCATAGGGTTTTCTTTTTATTTTTCTTTTTCTTTTTTTTCATTTTGTTTTTTTACATTTATTTATTTTTGAGAGACAGAGAGACAGAGCACAAGTGAAGAGAGGCAGAGAGAGAAGGAGACAGAATCCAAAACAGGCTACAGGCAGGCTCTGAGCTGTCAGCAGAGAGCCCGATGCGGGGCTCGAACTCACAAACCGTGAGATCATGAACTGAGCCGAAGTTGGACGCTCAACTAACTGAGCCACCCAGGCGCCTCTCTTTTTCTTTTTTTTAAGTGTATTTTATTTTGAGAAAAACAGAGCATGAGCGAGGGAGGGGGACACAGTGAGGGAGAAAGAGTCCCAAGCCGGCTCCACACTGTCAGCAGAGCCTGACATAGGGCTTGAACTCATGAATGTGAGATCATGACCTGAGCCCAAACCAAGAGTTGGACACTTAACTGACTGTGCCCCTAGATGCCCCTATAGGATTTTCTCTTAAGTTACTATGCTGAACATTTTTCAAACCTAGAGAAAAGCTGCAAACAGTGAAGTCCTCAGAAAATGCACATTTGTATAATTGGTCCTTCCGTGTGCACACGCTTACTTTTTCTGAGGGTTTGACAGAAGCCACATTAGGCATCCTTTTACCAGGGGACACAAGATGTGCACTGTGTATGTGTAAGAGCAAGAACGTCGTGCTGCATAATCTTGGTGCACGCACCCCGTGCACACCCCATGCAGCAGGTCGAACGCCGGTGCAGACCTCGGATCTAACCTACAGTCCACATCCTGGTTTTGCCAACTGTCCCAGTAATGTTTGAGCTAACCTCACCTCCCAAATGTGGATGCAGCTCAGAAGCCAGTCCACGTGTGGGTGGGCCAGAGCAAAGCTCGGGGCAGAGAGAACTCGGGAGGGTTAGGGTGGTGGGAGCTGGGGCAGTTCCCTCTGGAAAAAAATGCCAGATTTGGGTCAGACATAAAAATCAGGAGGAAAATGCAGGTGGGAACCCACCTGTGGGAAGTAGGTAACTCAGAGGCTGCATTTCATTACTGAAAGCTGTCTCCAAGGGCAAAGCTCCATCCACGAGACGGACTGGCTCCCGGGCGCATCTGGGCAGATAAATTATTTGTGTGGCCAGGAGAGGAAGCTTGCCTGCCCGGGCCCACATGCCAGCGGTCCACCCCATGGCCACAGCAGGTGTCCGACCCTCCTGGCTGGCCCCCTTCAGGATCAGGTCAGCAACACAGGGCCAGGAGAGGCCTGATGCCACGCCAGTGACAACACGTGATGCAGGAGAGCCCCAGTGCACATGCCACATCCAGTCAGTAACAGCACGGCCCCCCAGGAGGCAGAATTACGGGCTTATAGTCTCCCCGACGTCGACAACGATCTTGTTACTTTCATAATTAGGCAAAATATTGTTTTTATAAAAGGGTTTGATCCTGTTTCCAACGGGCACAAAGCCACTAATGCAATGAGGGCACATCGTGAAAACCGGCCATGGAGACACCCACCCTGAAGTGAATGGACCGTCCAGGACAGGCAGGCAGCCGTGGGAGAAAAGCCAACCCCCTAACCCTGCCCACGGCCCTTGATTTCTTCCCACAATGTTGGGAAAGTTGTTTCTTACCTTCCAGATGAATGTCCTAAACCCCATCTTGGACATGGGGACGTGAGTCAAATTTAAGCCAGTCAGGTTCACCAGAAGCCCAGCCCGGCTCTAAACCATCAGCTGGAGCCTTGAAGGACACCTGCAGGCCATCCCTCCTGCAGGCAGCAGGGTGTAGGATGAGCCAGCCACCCTGAACCAGCCCTGAGACGCCCTGCCCAGGGCCCTGCCCCTCTCCTGACCATGCTCACCGCAGGGACTTCCTGGCGGGGCAGACAGCAAGCTACCCCAGGAGGGGCTCACTAGGCACTGGCCAGGGCTGTGGGGCCTGCAGCATCTGAGTGACCAGGCCAGCCTTGAGACCAGGCACAAAGCTCGACAGGGTCCCCCCAGGGCTGTGGCCAGGTGTCCTGAGTGTCCAGGGCACCCGGAGTTGCCCTGAGGCCTAGCACCTGCTGCTTGGAGCCCCACTGCCTCGGCCACAGAGGTTAACATTTTGTTATGGAATGACGGCACATGTCACAGAACACAGTACCCATTGTGTAGCTTGTGGGTTGAGAGAACCCCAGGAATCCGCCCCACTGACACCCCACGCGTCCGGCCCATGGAGTCAGTCTTCCATGTCAGACTCGCCTGCATCAACCCCACGCATGCACCTCCAGGAACTGCACTTTGAGGTCATGTTCCAGGGGAGGGTCTGGGGGTGACTTCTAAACAGGATGGGGACAGAAGGGGGGCATAGAGTGAGGGAATAGGCCAAGCTCCCCCAGCTTCTGGGAACCCCAGTCCCTCTGCCCTTTTCCCACCTGAGGACCCAAGGCCAGCTCTGACTGCATCCTGGGGACACACACAGCTCCCGGGTCACAGGGAGCAGGTGCAGCAGTGCCATGAGCCCTGGGGACAGAGGAGGCCCTGACGCCGCGTGTGAGAGTCTCGAGGGGGACCCCACACCAGAGGGAGGTTCTGGAGGAATGTGCGTTCGTGGGGCAAGATGCGATTCTGACAGCTTCTGACGCGGAACCCTGCAGGGGACTCCTGGGCTCAGCCATCTCACCTTGTAACCGCTCGCACGTCCTACGCAGAGACCAGCCCAAGTGCGTGCGGGCCAGTCCTGGAGCGTTTGCTCCCATGAG